TTGTTATTGTTATTGTTATTATTATTATTATTATTATTATTAACCTATGAGGCTTGAATCTCAGGCAAGAGTTCCAGTTGATAGGAAAATACTTTGTGGTTAAAAGTAAATTAACTCAGTTGCTGTTCAACTTTTGCACCCTTAATGTAGAGGCAACTTTTCTCATAGTATCGAGAATGGTACTGAATATCAATATTTGTCATGGTATTGTATCAAAGTTAGAAATTCCAATATTGTGACAAGGTCTGTAAATCAGCTCCTAATGAAAATCTCAATGTAAATCTCTCTCTAACCTGTGAGGAAAATCCGTTGAAGAAGGAGAACCAGAAGTGCACCAGGGTGAAGGCGAAGTTCTTGTAGAAGAAGTAGCGCAGGAATTTGCACATGCGGATGTAGGACCAGCGTCCGTGGACCAGCAGGAGGCGCTCAAGGTAACGGAACTGAGCGAAGGCGTAATCGCTGGACATCACAGCCTGCATCCCCTCCTGACCGCTGATGCCCACACCGATGTCCGCAGCTGCACAGGAGCATGGGAACCAAAAGTTAGCTGTGCAACTGCACTTTCAAACTCTTGAGAAAACACTTCAAATCAATTCATACTTGGAATAAAAGTTCTCTGGTCATTGTCTGGATCTAAAATAAAAATAGAACTATATCCATTTTACTTTAAAATAAAATAAAATAAAATAATTAAATAAAATAATTAAAAAATATATAAAATATGTAAACTAGATTTTAGCTAGTTGGTGAGGAAACATTTCTAATTTTTATTTAGCTTTACTTCAAGTACTAAAATAACCAAAACTGAAATAAGACATTAAAAAAAGCTATAAACACAACAAAAACTACTAAAAATCAAATAAAACACAGTATACACATACATACACATATTGCCATGTATTTTTTTTTTTTTAAATCACAACTTGCCAAAACAATCACAATTTGTGTTTAGTTTAATTTGAAGTACTAAAATAACTAAAACAGACATAAAATAAAACATAAAAATGACAAAAACACACAAATTACTAAAACTTTAACTAAAATTATAATCATAACAGAAAACAAAAATAAAATAAAATAAAATAAAAACCTAGACAAAAGAACTTAAAGTTGCCTCTAAACCTTCACTTCTGAACTAAACACTTCTAAACTAAAATCTTATTTTAGCTAGTTGCCTAAACAACGTATTTGATTTTGGTTTAGTTTAACCTGACGTACTAAAATAACTCAAACTAAAACTGAAATACATTTATTTCACTTATAATTTATAAATATAAACAAACATAAAAATGACAAAAACACACAACAAAATGACTAAAACTTTCATTTTAAAAATTATCATGATAAAAAATAAAACGATAAAAACTCATTCTAAATATTATGAATCATTATGATAGTAAAATTACACGGGATTCAGGAATCAGATAGAGCTCTCACTCACTCTTGATCATGTTGACGTCGTTGGCTCCGTCGCCGATGGACAGGGTCACGGCTTTCTTGCAGCGTTTGACCAGACTGACCACGTTGGCCTTCTGTTTGGGCGTGACGCGGCAGCAGATCACCGCACTGCATTCACACGCCATGTCCACGAAGTCCTCCTGTCTCTTCTCCTTCTCCCAGTCATCCACGGGCTGGCTGCTGTCTGGAGGGTTGGAGGAGTTTGTGTGCCGCTTCCTGAGCTTCTTCAGACGCAAGCGACGACGCTTCTTCTTCTTCTCGTACAGAATCTCATTCTGCACAGAAACCAGAAAGCAGTTTCAATTAATAGATGGAGATCTTTAGTTTTTGCTTTCTTACTTCAAGGCTTGAACATCTTTTATTCACCTCCTGTTGTCCTGATGAACTTTATTGATTTCCATTGTAAAGGTAATAATAAAAAATAAATGTAAATTTATGATCAGTCTTCTCTGAGAATAGAAATTATTAGATAATGCCAATGTATTGTATTTTAACATTTTATTTCCATGCAAATTGTTCATTTCAATGTTTCACCAACATGTTTCATTCATTGTTTGTTTGTTTGATTGTTTAATAAAATTTGTTGTCCAGCCAAATTATACCAGGAAAAACAAACATTTTTATTTTATTTTTAAAATTTAAATTTGAACATTACACTACCATTCAAGTTTAAGATTTTTTTTAAATGTTTTTTTGTCTCTTCTGCTCACCAATAAAAGGCTTTATTTGATCAAAAATACAGTAAAAATAGTAGTAATGTGAAATATTATTTAA